AAGGGATTTGTCTTTAATTTTTTTTATTTTAGCTTGGAGCTGGTTGCCTTTGTGTATTAAATTTTGCTGTTTTTATGGAGTAAACTAAAGGGATGTCTTTCATGTCCGCAAATTTAAAAATGGTAAAATTTTAAGATCTTTTTACGAAATTTTACCAGAACCGCAAAATGACACCAGCTTAGAGAGATTTGCACAAAAATGGCGCCACACAGTCCGAATAATTGTTCGTAGAGATGGCAGCACTTACCAATCGCCAATGGCGACCTGGCGAAGGGAAACGCAGCTGCTGAAATGTTGTTGTCGTTGTGTGAAATGTTGCTTTAGTAACGTTGTTATGCAAAATAAAGCTTAGTGACATAGCTTATCGTCTTCGCCACGTTGGAAACTTCCCGGTAAGAGTTACATGGGCACATTCCTTACGGCGGTTTCGGAGGAGATACGTGAAATTACACGCGGCCGTTACAGTGTTACTATATAGATGTTGGAGTAAATTTTTTTCGTCTTCAGGGATATCATGACTATTTACAATGAACCACCTCCTGGAATGTTTATTGTCCCGGATAAGGAAGATATCACTAGAATACATGCACTTGTGACAGGACCATTCGACACACCATATGAAGGTGGATTCTTCTACTTCATCATCAAGTAAGGAGAACATGCATAATATTGGTGATGCATTTCATCGCTATGACTGAGTATGGCTCATAGCACAGGCACTTGCCACTTGGAACGTCTCAATAAAAAAAATTAATGGTAAATAAACACGAAATGTATCAAAGTCTGAATGTTTCTCTACTCTATTTTGCCTATAATCACCTGTAAATGCCGGTCAAATGCTCATCTGCAACACATAAGTACACCGCACGCCCGCCCTGCGGCGCACAAACAACATGAATAAGAGAGCAGGTAGGAAAGCGGGATCGCTAAATTCGCTCGACGCTCGCTTCATTTCACCCCGTCACAGCACGAATACACATCCAACAGCTTCCATCTTGGTATCTATGTGTACATAAATGTTCACTTGTTCGAATTATAACTCTACCCTTTGTCCTTACCTACTCCTGCCAGAGATATCTCGTGAAATCCTGCAGGAAATGGTCTCTCCGTGAAAATGTAAAGAGGACGAGATGTCTGTTTATACACGAGTAATGGGGTGCATTGCATGCCGGGATGAGCTGCTGCTGGCCTCCGAGCTCTGTTTCGAGGCCCGCCAAGCCAAGCACAATGCGCGCGGGCATGACGTCACGCACACACAACTACAGCGATCGATCGAAAGTAGCGCCGTTAGGGATTTTCGGATGATACGTCATCTTTACATTTTCACGGAGAAAACATTTCCTGCAGGATTTCACGAGATATCTCTGGCGGGAGTAGGTAAGGACAAAGGGTAGAGTTATAATTCAAACAAGTGAACATTTATGTACACATAGATACCAAGATGGAAGCTGTTGGATGTGTATTCGTGCTGTGACGGGTTGAAATGAAGCGAGCGTCGAGCGAATTTAGCGATCCCGCTTTCCTACCTGCTCTCTTATTCATGTTGTTTGTGCGCCGCAGGGCGGGCGTGCGGTGTACTTGTTTGTTGCAGATGAGCATTTGACCGGCATTTACAGGTGATTATAGGCGAAATAGAGTAGAGAAACATTAAGACTTTGGTACATTTCGTGTTTATTTACCATTCATTTTTTTTATTGAGACGTTCCAAGTGCCTGTGGCTCATAGGGTCTATGTCCCCCAGGGTACTGCCGGAACGTACCCTGATACTATCTAATATGCCGGACCGTACCTCGCCTACTCCACTAAGGAGTCTAGGGAGTCGCCTACTCCCTAACCCTAATCCTAACCCTAACCCTAACCCTAACCATATCAAATAGTTACCAGGGTACGTTCCGGTATACTGTACCGTACCCAGGGTATGATCCGGCAGTACCCTGGGGGACATAGACCCTATGCGCATGAGTATGAGTATGATTGCTTCCAGAGATTGACCTGCCTTACATATCTGACTGTCATTATAATAACTGCTATATATAACACATTCTCATACAACGTGTCACAGAATATTTTGTTTGATTTTGTTAGCTCATTTGACATAGTCAGATGCAGCTTGTAGAATCGCATGATCGTCCGTGCGTCCGTCCGTCCGTCCGGGCGTCAACAGTTGGGCACAAATCTTAACCGCTCGATGTACGGTCACGATATTCGGGACGTGGGGGGGTAATCCGAAAACGAGTTGGGATGTCGAAGCTGGGGGTCAAAGGTCAAAGGTCAAGAGGTGTAAAAGAAGGGGGAACATTCACTCCTTAACTTAAG